AAGAGGAATCGAGGAAAAAAGTTCTTATTGATGGACAAGCAGTATCAGTTACAAGTCCTGAGTTTTCATCAAACAATCATTTACTTCTTGGAGTTGTTCCTGTGGACAATAGAAATGCTAAAAATATGGCTATTGTACTCCAGAATCTGGTGGAATATTTCAAAACATCAGAGATTATCATTGCAGTGTGTATTGACACAACAGTTATAAACACAGGAAAAAAATCAGGAGTTCTCTGGCTCTTGTGCCGGCACCATATTGCAGAGATCCATATAAAATCGGGCATCAAAGCTGTTTTTAAAGAGCAAACTGTGGGACCATCTAAACAGATGTATAAAGATTTAAAGCACGCTTGGATGAATAGTTATTACCTTATTGTTAGTAAAGCAGGAGCTGAGAAAAAATTCAAGAAGTTTCCAGAAAGTGAGTTGGTTGTTGGAAGTGATCTTCACAATTTATATCTCAAGTCTAAGAAATTCATTGCTTATTTGCTTGAGTATAATGTTTTTCCTAGGAATGATTATAATCACTTGGTAAAATACCTTGCATTCTCTATGAATATCAATTCACCCAAGCTTGAAAAGTTTAGTTTGTACCAACCAGGTGCTAACCATAATGCCAGATTTATTTGTGACAGCATCTACTTGGGGCTTTTGGATATTACGTCTCCTATTATTAACTTCCTGAGTGATGATCAGAAGACTTTAGTCCCTAAGGCTAACTTTATTGTTGCCCTATACTTTGCTCTTTCATTTCTCAAATCCAGCAAAGCTGAACATGCAGTAGTAAATAACTTTGAGACATACAAAGCTGCTAAAATCATCCAAAAGGATTGGAATTATGATGTTGGTAATGCTTTATTAAAAAAACTTTAAAACCATATTTGGTATCTTTCCCCAAAGTGCGTTATAATGGCGTTGGCTGATCCTGATCTTGACAGTTCTACCAAAATGTCTGTCATAAGAAAGCTACTTAGATTCCCTGTACCTAACAAGAAAAATTTAAGCTTAGAGACTTCAGAGAGGTTATCCATCTCAGAGTCTACTAAATTAAAAGACCTAATTACAGAGGAAAGTTGGCTTCTGTTTATTATCACCGCCACCATTAGTGTTGTCAGGGAGTGGTATCAGACTGAGGGGGACTTGGAGGAACTTTCATCTTATAAAGACTTTGTATGTCACTAATGATTGTGCAGAAAGAAACATTGGTCTTATCCAAGAATATGTTGATACATCCCACAATGAAGATCAACGCCAGAATATATTGTTGGTTGTCTAAGAGCATAAAAAGTTATATAAAAAAAAAAAAGGAACACTCACAACTCATATTAAAATGATGTTAGAAAATAATGGTATTGATTTTTTTTTAAATAAGTTTTTTTTCTTAAATAAAGACAATTTCAAAATACAGTTTCAAATTTAATTTTCTTCATAATCAAGTTAAAAATGTATCATTTTCACCAAAATTCATGTTTGGAATTAAAAAAATTTACTTGTAGCTGTTCCCAACACATTTAAAAGTAAATATTTTTGGGAGGGACTCTTTATATGGCATTTATTTTGGCATTTTTGGGTCACCCTAATATATATATATATATATATATATATATATATATATATATATATATATATATATATATATATATATATATATATATATATATATATATATATATATATATATACACACATATATATATATATATATATATATATATATATATATATATATATATATATATATATATATATATATATATATATACACATATATATATATATATATATATATATATATATATATATATATATATATATATATATATATATATACATATATATACATACATATACAAATATATGTATATATATGAAGAGTCCAGGGGAAAAAATAGCAGTCACATTTTTATTTTTTTGAAAATATTGTGTTTGTATTATAAAAAGTCTTTTAAATTATAACTTGAATGATAATTCAAGAAAAAAAACAAATGCTAAATTTCGAATAATTAAAATGAAAAAACCAGGTACAACGGAAAAAAAGTCCAATGTTTACAATGAAAAAAAAGGCTATGCCACATGGTCTTGAAATATCTGGCTTCACATGATCTTGATATCCAATGATTTTCCTCAAGCGTTAAAAATATTTAATGAAGATGGCTGATTGTGATGAACTTGTTAAAGCTATGAGTAAAGCAAAAAAAGAAAGTTTAAGGGAAGGTTGTCACAATTACAGAAAAAACAGAAACTTTCTGCTCATAAAACAGGTCCCGACTGTAATTGCATCAGATTTAAATGTTTTGAAGTTATAAATGACGAAAACAGAGCTTTTTTATTGAAATCATTCACTTCAATTGCGAGCAAAGAAATGCAAGATTCTTTTCTTGCTGGACTTATAACGGTAACCAGCATAAAAAGAAGAAGACCACTTAAATATAAAGCAAGCAGAAATAATAGTTTTAGCTACCAATATAAATTGTTTGTAAACAATGGCAAATCTCAATTTGTTCAAGTGTGTTTCAAAGCCTTTATTTCTATATTTAGTATTAAAAAAAGGAAACAAAAAGAAGTATTTCAACTACAGTTGCAGTGTTTTAGTATATAGCAATTTTATATAGAAACATAATTATTTTAATAGCTCGAAAAGGTAACATTGTGTGAAAAATGTTATTTTTAGAATAAAATTTACATTGATTTTACAACAAATGAAACTTAACAATATCATTTTAGGTAAACCACCAAAAGATATGAGAGGAAAACGTTGTACTAGGCTGCATAAGATTACAGATGATGTGTGTGAAAAAATAATAACCCATATTTCAGTATTCAGGGGAAGGCAGTCTTACTATTTTTAAGAGAAAACTAGACGCATTTATTTACCTGAGGAACTGAATATAAATAAAATGTGTAACATGTTTGTGATTCTTCACCCAAATGTAAAGATTTGTTATGAGTCATACAGAACAGTATTTAACAATGAGTTTAATATTGCTTTTGGTTATCCTCGAACAGACATATGTTCTATGTGTGATGAACTAAAAATTAGAATTGATATTTGTTCTAAAGATATCTCAGCTAATCCTCCGGTTGATCTCATCCCATAGATGTTCTATGGGATTGAGATCAGGCGAGGATGAAGGCCAAGCTAATGTTTGAATATTGTTTTGTTTGAGCCAATTCTTGACTAGACCTGATGTATGCTTGGGATCATTATCGTGGACGAAAAAAAATTCTTGTCCAAAATTAAATTTTTAGATCGATGGTAACAAATGATGCTCTAAGATGTCACGATAATAAAATCGGTCCATTGTATGGTCCAAAATACATAATTCACCAATTCCATTTCGCGTGAAACAACCTCAAACGGTAACAGAACCACCACCATGCTTGACCGTAGCCACAGTACAATGTGGATCGAATTCTTTTTTGGGTGTTCTCCATACCATTACTTTTCCATCAGACGCGAACAAATTAAATTTCGATTCATCGGACCAAATGACAGTTTCCCAAAACCTTATTGGCTTGTTCAACATTGTTTTTGCGTATTTCAGTCGTTTAACTCGATTGATTTTGTTGACTAATGGTTTCTTTCGTGCTACCTGACCATTAAGTCCAGCTTCGTGAAGTCTATTTCGAATGGTATTGGTGTGTAGTGATATTCCTAGTTCGGTCTCAACCTCGATCTTCACAGCATTGGCAGATTTACGTCAATCGGACTTAATTTTGCGTACTATCAATCGATTCAATGTTTCGGTTGTTTTCCTTTTTCGACCACATCCGAATAAATTACCAATACATTTCGTCTGTTTGTATTTCTTAATTATGTATCATACTGTCTCTCGAGGAAGTAATGTCTTAGCAGCAATTTCTTTTATACTTAAACTTAAACTGTTTTCTCAATAAAACAAGAACAAAAGTAATTGAAATGCTGAAACTTGTTGTATATATACTAGTGATAACAGACGACACGATGATACTAACACTTAGTAATTCTCTCCTATAGTTCTTATATGCCAGCAAAAATAAAGTAGTTATGCAAAGGTGGGCCAATATATATATATATATATATATATATATATATATATATATATATATATATATATATATATATATATATATATATATATATATATATATATATATATATATATATATATATTATATATATATATATATATATATATATATATATATATATATATATATATATATATATACTTGAAAAGTTTGTATATGAACATGTGCATTTTATTTTTTAATAAATCACCTTTAACACAATTTTTCAGCAGATTTTAAGTCAATTTTCTAAAACTATGATACCTCTGAGATTTTCTGATGATGGAAATGAAATGTCTAGATATCCATATTATTATTTATATTAACTTTTTTGGGGTACTCAGAACCTTTAATTTCTGAACTGTGCATATTGCTTTCTGATCGTCTTAAGTTTATTTATGCTAAAACTTCCTACTTAAGTTATAATTGTCTGCAAAATAATTTTATTAGTATTTTATTGTAAAACATTTTGTCAATGTATATTTTATAATGTATTTGTCTCAAAATTGTGTTAACTCAGTAAAGCTTAATTTTTAGTAAATTTTTTTTGTCATGCTCTTTGCATTTTTTTATATCACTTTTGTTACAGATGTCTATAGCAGATTTATTACACACAAAATTTCTTATTAACCACCCATTTGGTTAAAATTCATCTTTTTTTATTACAGTTTTTTTTATATATATTTTTTATTCGCTTGTTTTCATATTGTTTACTACCAAGGGTTTTTTTAAGTTATATTATCTCTCATTATTAACTCAAAAATGTTATAATAAAAAAATCTCAATAAAATTTTATTATTTAAAAATTATAATAAAGTTGTTTGTTTTTCACTAAAGATTTTAAATGAAAGAATAAACTTTTTAAAAATTAGCATCTAGTAACCTATTTGAGAAGTTCTGTGATGCAAAAAAAAAGTATGTACAAAACAGCATTAAATAACACTATACCAATAGATTCTTTCTCAATTACATGCATTGACTTTTCAATTTGAACCATGTCTTCTTTGCAGATCTAAAATGAAAAATGAGAGTGACTACTTTTATACAAAAAAAGATTTCAAAAATAAAAAAACTGAAATTTTAAGTAATTTAAAAAGAAACTTGAAAATAAAAATAATAAAATAATTTATTTACTAAATTTATTAGTAACTGTGAGAAACAAGTTGACTTATATTTTATTAGTTTTTATAGTTTAATCTTAATAAAAAATAAATAAATTTCATGATCAGTAACAAAGAAATAGCAAGATCTCCAAAAATTCATCTAAAATACTCTGAAAAAAGTTATTTAAAAAAAAAAAAAAAAAAAAACAGGTGCCATTATTTTAACCAAAAAGAACTATATATGTGTTTAACATAATATTAAAAGAATTGTATAAAAATGACCACTCTCACATTTTATCATAAAATACTGGAAAGGCTGACTGTAAATATTCGAAGATAAATAACTAAATTAAATCTTTCTATATAATAATATTACAGCCTTATATATTTAAACAATACACCCCTCCATATAATAAGAGTATATCTTTCTATATTTATATAATAACAATACACCCCTCCATTTAATAAGAGTATATCTTTCTATATTTATATAATAACAATACACCCCTCCATATAATAAGAGTATATCTTTCTATACTGTTGCAGCAAAAGAAATATCAAATCCATTCTTGCTGTTTTGAAAAAAAAGCATTTAGAGTTTAAAATTTATCACTGCATTTGATTTTTTGTATTAAACGTAATTGTTTTCAACATGTTTATAGCATTTAGGTTTGGTTTTTTTCAATATGTTAATTAGCACTAATAATGAAACTAACATAAGACCTAAACTAACATTTTATAAGACCAAACCATAAAATTCTTAGTTTTTAACATTTCTAGTCCAGGTGAAGAAAAATATCATTAATTTATTTACCTCAATTAGAAGCTTGAAATACTATAACAGAAAATATTTCTAAAATTTTAACTAAAAAAAAAATTGTATTTTGTTTTGCAAATGTTGTTAAAAAATAATATTAGTTTGGGATTGATAAAGAGACCAGGGAGTATATTAGTACATAATTTGCAAACCAAAACTGTTATTTTGAGTCTAAGGTTACTTTGCATGGTCTGAAAAACAAAATTTAAAAACTTACTAAGTTATTCAATAAAATTACTTGATATATTTTTGAAAATAATTAATCGTTGGAATAAAAATAATGGAAGCGTTGACATGTAAAAACTTGACAATCACTTTACAAATAACTAACACAAGAAACAAAGGCTTCGTTTGAAAAATAGTCATTTTTTAATGTCTAGGAGCTATTTTTTTTGTAATTTTATTCAATTTTAAATTGCTGAAACTGACTCTGCACAATCCTATTCAATTATTTAATGGCCTGCTTCATTATGACATTTTTGTTATTCTACTGTTGGTATTTCATTTTCCATGCAGCTGACTCTTGAGGTTTTGGTAGAAAAAATGTTTTGGAATATAACGTTTTGATAGAATCAATGTTTTGGAATATATAGTACATTTGTACATTATGAAACTATAAAAATTTAAATCATTTCTTGGTAGCTTTTTGAAAGAACTTATTAAGAAGTTTTATAAATAACAATGTTTTCGTATTAAAATAATATTTTTCCGTCAGCCATTATTGTTTTTTACTTTCTATAATTGCAACTGCACGATTGGCTGTAATAATACTTATTAGTTTCCGAATGGCTTGTAGTTGTTCTTGTTTTAAAAGACTTTAACAATATTTATTTGTTTTAAAAGACTTTCACAACATTTAAGCAATAACAGCGAGTTTATTTAATTATTTAAATAAAAAATTTATATTAACTTAAATTTAAGAGCCGATTGAAAAGAATAGGAACCATTTCTCGAGAAAAGAAAAGAAATGTCATACTTTGCCAAAGATCAATACAAGTTTTTAAAATGCTTTTGCATATGCTGTATAAAGAAAATTAATGATTTGAGATGCATTCAAACCAAATGCATTAAACCAGGTTCATTAAACATTACACATGCATTAAACCAAAACAAGAAATAAATTATGAAAATCTTTTTAAGTGATTTTTTTGGGAAAACTACTCTGTTAAAAAGCCTGATCTGCCTATTATATTATGTTCTTACTGCAAAAAAAAATCTGGTGAGTTTAGAAAAAACAGATTCAAAAACGATTTTTATTGGCTTATTTAAAAAAAAAAAAAAAGCCAAAAAAAACTAATTATGTTTTGCATTATTATTGTTGTGCTTATAAACAATATTGTATATACATTAAAAAAATAACTTCTTATTACTTTTAGAACTTAATACTAAAATTGTTCTAGGTGGGAAATGTAAATTGTACAATCCACCTCACCTATAACAAAAAGAAAAGTTTTATCAACTACAATTAACAACTTAGTAACCTATGACGCAAAAATAACGTTGAACAACTTTGGCCCTAGGAAGCTTGTTGTTTCTATTGGAGTAGTTAACCAAAAACAACTTACTTTTCACACTCAAAACTGAAACAACTACAGGAAATTTCATATTGGATATAGATTGTCTATTACAAAACTCAAAATATATAATTATCTTAAAAAAATATTAATTTTTTGTAACATTTGTATCAAATTTACTATTGACTATAAAATGTTATAAATTGCCTGATTTATATGAGTGAAAGGAAAAAAAAATATCTGTCAAGTTTTGTTTTTATAAAAAGTTAACAGAAGAAAACAATAATCTATTGTCTTTGTTTCATGATGAGCGTATGCTGAGATTCAGTCAGGATATAAACAGGATACAAATATAGTGTTTTAATTTAACTAACTTTACTAAAAATATATATTTATAAACTATATATCTTTATAAAAATACTCTATAAAAATAATATATTTTAACAAAAATATTATTTTATGCTACATTCCTGAGTAGGAAGCATTATTGGTGAATATTGTGTACACACTTTACATGCTAAAAACAATATTGCGCCAATATTGTTTGCTACTAGGGTTATAATATTATATTATAATTAATTTGAAAGTGGATAGTTTAAAAGTGAAAAAAAAGAGTGAGATATTCTGATGAATATGGATGTAAAGATTTCATATACGCTAGTGTTCACAAAACTTTTGTTTTGGCAGTATTACCCTCTGTTGATGAAAAAAGATAGCTAACTTTTAAAAAGTAATAAATTAGCCGATGTTATAACTAGAAAGCACAAATTATTATCAGAAGTTATTTCTAAATACGCTCCTCAAAGAGTCAATCCAATAGGTCAAACAACCATAGTCATAATATGAGATAGTCTGTCCAGTTGGGCCGTTTTCGCAATATTCTATTGTTTTTAAACAATAAAAGTTAAAACATTGAATTTATGTTGAAAATCATTTATTTATTGTGCCCAGACTACCAATAAGTGCACAAAAATCTAAAAAATGGCGAACTCAACAGATAAACTGCTTTGATTATTTCATATTAGATCTAGAATCAAATATATTTTTTTGTAAACCAATTTTAATTATATTTATAATTATAATTATATCAATAATTTCAGTTCTTTTCTCATTAAAATTGGGAGCAAAAACGCTTAAACCAAATTCATTTTCATAAGTGTATGATAAAGTCGGAGCATAAATTTAAACGCTACATAACAAAGCAGCATTCAAATAGTTTCTCTTTAACTCAGCAAAATAAAACACAAACTGATATAAAGCAAACGTGTTCTACAAATAAGTTCATGAATTTTGTTTAAAAAAACATTCTTATTGTTATAAACAATCTTTGCTGCAACATGTTCTGCAAAGAAATTCATCAATTTTGTTTTAAAAAACATTCTTATTGTTAAAAACGATCTTTGCTGCCTTCCATATATCAGAGATGAGCTTTCAAAGTACATATTTTTAAAAGATGATACGAAGCTATTATTCAATAAAATATTATTTATTTTATTATATTATTTAATAAAATAAAGTTATTAAAACTATTTAAAGTGAAGTTGAAGTTTTTTATCCAAAATTTATAGTTGCAGATCATTATTGTATTATGCAATAAATAAATGAGTTTTGTTATCTAACAAAAATTGTAGAATTTAAGTCCAGAACTTAAACCCATAAGCCAAAGCAAGCCTTAGGCTGTTACAGAAGAGAGATCAGATTTAAAATCAGCTGTTTGTTCTAAGCAATCAAAAAGTAAAGATTTGTAAAGACAAGAGTATAAAGTTGAGTCACCAATAAATAGAGCCACTTTAGATTTTAAATTTTCATTGATATTGTAGATAAGAAACAATACAGGAGTAAAGATTTAAGGGTACCATAAGATACCCTGTGGTACCCTTAAAGTTATTTGAAATAAAGAAGAGTGTAGGCCTTCAAGAATAACTTTATTACTGCAGTTAGTAAAAAATAATTTAATAATTTCAAAAACTTTATATAAAGTAACTAATAACAGATTGAAGACGCAGAATAGATGGAGAGGTCAAAATGTTTTCTAGAGTTTTGAAAAATTGGAACCAACTTTTTAGAATTTTTTAAAATATTATTAAATATTATATAATAAATAAGATTAAATGTTATACTTAGTTTAGTTAACGTCATTGTTGAAGACTAACCAAAACTCTTTAGAACCTAACATCTGATTTAAGATACAAACTGAGAATAACAGAGCTGAACATCATACGAGACCTTTTTACATAAGCTTCTTGGAATAATAAAAGGACATTTGTTCTTAAGAGAGATGTTCTTTTAAAAGAATGAAATAAATGATTAATAAAGCAACTGCTCAAGATGGTGAAAAATATGGGGTAGAATGAGGTTTGAGTTGAAGAGTAGGAATAAAAGCTTCCAAACCTTTAGTCCAGAAGGTATAAAAGCTTCTGAGATGCATTATGCATACATAATAGATGCAATATTTATTTTGCATTTTATTTGATAATATTATCTATGTGCCTTATAATTTACTAATGAACTGCTATTGTATAAATAAAATACTACTTTATTGCATAAAATAAATATGCTAAAATAAAAGAGAGCTTTT